TATTTTCCCTTCCTTTTCTGTCCTATTAAAGTGTCTTTATCTCAACCCACAAATTTTACTTCCCACCCCCCCCAATTCTCTCCCCCATCCCACTGGGGGGAGGGGGAGAGTGAGCAAACAGCTGTGTGGTGTTCAGCTGCCTGCCGGGTTAAACCACAACATCCTGGACAAACACCAGTCAACAAATTTCAGCGTAAATCCTTTTACTTCTCTCCAGTTTAAAAAAAAAAATCTTGACGATTAAGAGTTATCCAGTACTGTGCTAGAGGCAGGTTTGTCTTGTTGCTTCCTAGTGAACAGACGCCCCACAGAAGATGAAAGTTGCAGAACTTATTTAAAGCACATTAGCAGAGAAGATGGTGAGGAAGGAGGATTTCTGTTACCAGATTACCTTCTCCGGCCTTAAACACAAAGGAGGTGGGAAGGTAAACACAGCTGACAAACTAGTAGTATCTTTTCCTGTGCTAGCCTACTCTATTAGTCTCATTAAAGACTCTTCTTACTTTCAAACTGATAACCTTCTACAACTCTCTTGAGGAGGCTGTCAGCTGAAAAGGACATCGAGGCTATTGATGGAGACTTTGGAATATTCTACAATTACTCCTTGTTCAGCATTTCTGATACAACGCATCAGAATGTGCATCAACATTTTAATAGCTACACGCGCAAATAACCAACACTGCTGACTGATGGATGGACTATCCCTCAAAATTTTAAGGATTTCCACTGATCACATCATCACTATCTATTGAATCAAGTCGTGATTCAATAGAGTTTCATTTTCAGGGAAAGATATATGGCTGTGTGCATAGCCACTGCATCTTTTCAGTGAAGTATCTTTATCAGGATCAATTTCTTGCTTTTTTAAATTAACTATCTTTCAAGTTGACAGCGGTGAAATCAAAGCAGGCAAATAACAATGCTGGCTTGCGTTATTTTTTTCTTGGTTTGTTTAAAGAGAGCTGAAGGCTGCTCCAGTAATAACCATCTTTCGCATTTAAAAGCTGATACATAATAAAGCTGTGAGCAGTAAGCCTTATTTAAAGCTTTGGGAATTTTTAGAATACTGCTCCAAATGGAAGCAACTTAGCGACAGGCATCAAATCTTCTCATTAGGCATTCATTTCTGCAACAAAGGAAGCCAAAGAACTTATGATCACAGTTACGTTTTACCTACCTTTCCTATTAAAAAGTAAACAAGAGACTCTTTGGGAACAATCTGTTTCAGTTCTTCAAGTTCTTGTAAAGCAGACTGAAAAGGAAGAAAAAAGAGCTTAGTAAGTGCAAGCTAGCAGTCTGCAGCCAGTTATATCACTAAACTGTGACTTACCACTAATGTGGAAAAAAAAAAATCCTGGCATTTACATACAGTATATTCCATCAAGAACAATAGTGCAATCTCATGAGAAGCATCTAAAATTCCTTTTACCTTAGTTTCTCATTTAAAAATTGTAGCATATTATAGCCCCGTTATTACAGAAATAGAGCAAGTTTATCGGGCTTTGGTCTCCTGCAGCACATCTAACAACTCCGATATCGGACGCCCCCGTTGCCCCCAACAAGGCATAGGGTAGAAGCCAAGAAGCTGACAGTGTATTTACAGTGGGCACTTCCTTTAGTATGCTGAGCTTCTGAAAAAGTAAGGATATTGATGTATTTTCTGCTGGATGTACTGCTCTCAAGCCTATGCTTTTGAAAGGTTCTGGTTTTAGATATGTATCTGTGGACTTTTACAAATGATGACTGTGTTTCTATTAGGCATTTCAAGTCCAAAATATTTAGTGAAACTTCTACTTTAAACTAATCGTTGACACTGGAGCAATTTATTCTGCTGTGACAGTAACCTGGCATTATTAATAAATTCTACCTAAAAATATTTAGTCTGCAGTTAGAAGTAAACATTGTTTTCAGTTATAAAAAGTTCCATTCAACCCTCTAAAACTTATTCATGTGAAGACAATTTCAAGTTAGGGCTTACTACATTTATTTACCTAACACTAGCCAAATTTATCACACTATCAAAATTCTTAGTACTGATGCTAAAAACCAAAACATTTCATTAGGTTTTATGTAGTTTATGTGAACAGCCTAACTTTAGACTTACAAGTCTCAGCCCGATAAAGAAAAGAGTCCAAATGTTTTATTTCCTAAAACAACACTTCACCATGGTCAACAGTTCCTTCACTAGCGCAGGCACAATAAGATAGCGGACTATTATTTTTTTTCCCCTCTTTTAAGTATCCTCTGCCTTTAAATTTTAAAAACAATCTACAAACGGGCACTTCATTAAGTCTTTAATCTTAATATATTTTATATTTAATTGGTTCAGTTATGAATTTAAAAAAAAAGTTTTAAGTAAAGTTTTCCCTTTACACGTGCACACACATTTCTGAAGCAAGGTTTCAAAAGCCAGACTGCGGCTTGTCTTCTGTGGCCAAATAAACAGGCCAGAGGACAACAGTACTGGACGGAGACTGTGGGAACATCTTCACTCATTCTAAACAGGGTACAGGTCAACAGGGGATCAGACCAAAATTGCTTAGCTTCTTATTTTTCACTCGATAACACAGCCTTTGAAATAGCTGGTTCTTGTTGCTGTAATTGGTTATGAGGCAGTATGCTGAGCCTTTTTTTAGTAGTTTTGTATAAGCTCATGATAATACGGCCACAAGTCGGTGACAGCTGCAATAGTTTCCCCTTCTTTCCTTTCTTTTTCCAGGGTCAGACTAAATTATTAATTAAAAAAGCATCACCTGTTGGCCCCAGATTTTATAACAATAAAAAAAAATTTAACATCGTTTCCTTGGCGAAGGTGGCGCTTGTCAAAGCAAATGCTTCATGTTAGCCTCTACAAGATAGGCCAATGTCCAGGCTCTTCCTGCAAGCCCTGATGCTACCCAGCGTTAATCTGTAAACATTTAGCTTCCAGTGCATCCCCATTCCTAGCTACAGCAATTTAAAGATAACTTAAGGTGTCCACATGTACCAAATCTTACCTTGTATTTTTCATTTGCAAATAATACAGAAGCTCTATGGAATTTGCATAGTGGGTTCTTGGGGTCAATGTTAATAGCTTTGTTTAAAGTATCCAAAGCCTTTTCAGATTTTTTCAGTGCATGCTGGACCTGTAACAGAAAGAGAGAACAATTTTAGAAGGGCAAATAACAGCTCATCTGCCAGACAAGGACAAATCCATTTGACTACATTTACTTACAATCTGTTCCTTTAAAAAAAAAAAATACTTGTCCAATTCTAGACCAAGTCTTAACAAGCTTTCTTACAGGAAGAAAACTTCACCTCGCCTCATCTCCACCTCAAAACGTTCTCCCCACCCAATGGCTTACAGAAATCATTTAACCTTTGGCCAGGAGCGAACTCAATGCCTTTGCCTTTCTCTGTATGTAAGTGAGAAGCAGCCACTATCCCTGTAGAACGTGACACAGCTTCGCTGCCACATAGAAGGCAAATGAATGCCAGCAGGTAGCCATCCATCACACTTATGCAGCCTTAAGTCACCATCACGAATATCCGAGAACTGCTTCCCAACTTTGTAAGCAAGCATTCGCTAGAGTGAGGCTACTGTTTTCTACAGACTGCAGCAGCAGATGGATAAGTGACCAACTTTTCAAATCGCCCTGTAAATTTAATTGAACAGACGGTGGCTGAAGTAGTTGCCTGCTACTTAAACTTCACTTGGCATAAAGTGGCCTAAGTTGTCACATCTACAAGTGACTGGAATGAGGGCAACGCGGACATACATCCAGGACAAAAATATTGCACTCTGAAAGGCGAGACAGGTGCCTTAGCATTTTATAGAACTGGAAGTGCTGGTCCAAGTGTATGCAATAGCAGTTAAAAACCACTTCATTTCTTATGTATTAACTATAAAAAAACACTATAAATACTCTGTTCAGATTAATATCTGCACACAGTCTTGATTTTCATGTCACCCCTATTTTGGCTGACTCACAAACATGAACTGATAGTATAATTTCATTACTGGCTAAAAGTAGTTTGGAGAGAAGAGGGTTTCTTTTCTGACACATTAATCCTGTGGTTATTCATTCATATGGCACTTAAGATCCTCCAATAGGTACTCTGAACTTGTTGGGCTTTTTTGCCGAAAACGTTCAGAATGACTTTTCTACTGCAAACAAAGTACAGAAGCAGAGTAAAACACAACAGGGGTAGCGTTAAGTGCAATCTACTTACTACTCCAATGTGACACAGTAAGACTGAGCTCTGAGGATTGATATCAAGTGCTTTCTGGAAATGCATTTCTGCCAGACTGAATTTTTCCTGTTTGTAATAAATCATTCCCAACCCATACCTGCAAGCAGAAAAACAATTCTGTTAAGTAAGACTGTATTCTAATCAAACTAATCTTTGTCAGTGAATATGACCTGGCAGAAATGGTCCATGGACTTGCCAACCCCACCCAGGGTGGGGAAAAAGCTACGTCTAAAATTATCTTGGGTTTTTTGCTCAATTGGGTAGTTTGAAGAATTGATATCGATACACAGGAAGACTGGCTGAACAGCTGCAAAGTAAGAAGCATACAAAAGTTTCTCAAGACTAAGTGACTTACACTAGCAGATCTAACTTTTACTGCTTTATTTATTTTTTCCACAGAAAAAGCTGTAAAAACCTGACTGTATCCTAAGGTATAAAGGGGCAGATCTCTCATCCTCCAACTGCAATTGAAAAACAAATCAACTACATGCATGAGGAGTGCTGCAAAGAACAAAATAGCTGGGGTAATACAGCCAAGACGATCTGTGGAAACCAAAAGAGCTCCCATTTTTTGCCCTCCTTGTGGAAGTAACTGTTTAATAAACAGATGAGGCCCACATCTTCTGCAGAAATAGCTTTGCTCTCTTCTTAGAGAGAAGAGTGGTAGGGAAACAATAGCAGTGGCAGCATCCAGAAGATATTTCTCCAAAAGGAGTTCTGTATCACGTGCAATAGGAGGGGGATGAAGCAAAACTTACCATGCATTATAGTGTCTAGGGTTGACTCTGATTGCATTTCTAAAACAAGCTAGTGCTTTGTCTAGTTCTTCTGTTAACACAAATTCATGCCCCAACAGGGTGTAGGCATAAGCATAGTTTGGATCAACTTGAATGGCTCTCTGGAAGAACTTGATTGCAATGTCATGCTCTCGTTGCAAGCTGAAACAGTTTCCTGCAGCACACCATGCCTAGTAAAAACAGCATTGCAAAGTTAACACGCTTTTTACAACTCAGAGTGACTAAGTTTGAGCTGAACAGATTTTTCCATACTGATTTACATGATTATGTAACTTCCTCCCAGATTAAAAAATAATAATAATAATAAAACAATAACAATAAAAGTTAGTTAAGTCTCATTCCCGAGAGGCAGATAGGCCTAAATACACCTTACAGCTAGACAAGCTGAAATACAGAAATCGGGAATCTAAGGACACCCAACAAGTTTGTGCCAATTAGATACTTTGATGACTAATGACTAAAGCTTTTGAAGCTGTTGAATAGGCTAGAAATAAAACATCTTAGATATTTAAGAATAATGAAGGGGGAGACGGTACATTCACTTTCACTCTTCAGTTCCCTCCAACTGACAAATCTGGAAATCTGCAGAGCAACAATTTTAGCAGCAACCTCCTCTTTCCCTCCTGCTCAGCAACCAGCATTGAGATTGTAAAGCATCACAGCCCAGGGTCCCTCGCTTTCCCAAATTTTTAGCATCGCTGCCAAATCGCGTAACTGTTCTCCACTCCTTGTATTAGAATCAGCATTTTCTTCTCTCCAGATTATCTTACCAGAACTACCAACTGCTTAATTGGTTTTGATTTTTCCACTGTTAGACAAGCTAACAAGACAACATGAGCAGGATTCTCTCCTCCACCACCAACAAAAAATCCCAATGCAATCTACAGTTTTCTCAACTCTGTTAAGAACACATTTATAAACACGTACATGTATTACTTTTACTGTGGCACCCATTAAAAGATGCCTGGCTTTTTGCCTATCATGGCTTTACATTACCATACACTGCAGTTTTATGGACTTTGGCATAAAAATGTGCAACATTATGTCTGAAAATAAATTCTAGAGCAGATATGTTTTAAGTGCCAGTGAATTAACTACAGCAATTAAAAGGTGGTACAGGAAAAAGATATTCCTTATCTGTGCATACTGGCAGCAGCAGGAGTGACTGACTAACCCATGATCTTCCTGGATGAATGGTGCCAATGCAAATTTAAATAACCATTAACAGATAAAAGGTTTCAACCTGTTCCATGTAAGCTGATATTCTAATTCTAAGAAGCCATTTCAGGCATCATCGGTTCAACAGACAATCCCGCCAACTCCCTCTCCAGTTTTGCCATGCAGTTCTCACAGGAGAATACACTTGAACTAGATTAGCGCTCAGAGCTTTGTCCCAAATCATTGATTTTGCCACATACAGCTACCCTCTTCTCATTCAAGACCACAGCATTTTATACCTCCGGTGAGTTTTTATCCATGTCCGTCAAATCCTTTGAAAGAACTGAAAGAGCAACATCTTTCTGCAGATGCCACAGCGTAGTCGAGTAGATCTCCATGCCTTCTACTCTGTAGTTTTCAATCCTCCTTACTTCTGAAAATATTCTCTCAGCCTAAGAACAGAAATTAAAACTTAAAACAAAATTCCACCCATCAAGGCAAAGCACATAGGTCAAGGTTAGAAGCCTCGTATGTCCAGACTGAGCATCCTCTTTGCTTTGTAAGTGTACTACGCAGAGCTACAAGTCCTGTAACTTCTCCTTCAAGCGAAAGAAGCGACTATACCCCAATATAGTTACACCAGCAGAAATGCAGCCAGCCCTCCCTACTGCTGACTCAGATTACATTACTGTTTCTATCACAGCAGACAGGCAAAGCAAAAAAAGTTACCCACAAAAATCAGAAAGAGCATAGCATACTTTTATAGGCCAGTTATGATTATTAGCCATTCTAACAGGTGACAGGTATTGCATTCATACCGATTGCTACACCCCTCCAGACCTTGTGCATAATAATTACAAGGCAAAAGGCAACATGACAATCACTGCAGCAAACACGGCTGACGCAGGGATGGGGGCGTGCATAAGCATGTGACAACACATGTATGTGCTTTACTTTCATTTGAGACAGCTATGCTTCTTATCAACAGCTGACTAATGAAGTCTTTCTGATGTAGATATCTATTCATAAACTTAAGTTCCAGGTTACAACACTCAAAGCAGCAACAAGGGAAGAAGCCTAGCTTTAGGAAGCCATTAGGGCCTGTAGCCTCGGTTTTCAAAATAAACTATTGAGAAGAACAATGTGGTCCATCTCTGATCAGACCATGTGTACAGTTTAAAAACTGCTTCTGAAACCCTCTGCATTTGTCTCCTGCACACAAACTGTCAAAAAGTGTTTCAAAAACTGAGGAAATGGGCACATCAGCTATCAGGACAACAGTGACAAGGAGAGTTAACTGCTGGATTACCCTTAACTGCTCACTTCTGTTTCTGAAGCAGTTTGACATCACCTCAGCTGTGCCAATGCTGTCATTTCTGAGGCTGCAAAGGAAACTAGGTGATCACATTGATGTGATCTGCATTAACTCAAAAGGGCGAGAGAAGTTTTTGGCTTTAGAACTCAAATTGTTTCAGTGATCTGATTTACAACATTGCAGTACAAACAACTACATCAGCACAGCTGTGGGTGAAGACATGGAGAGGCAAGGAGGAGATCCCAATGGTTGGATGCAAGAGGAAATAACATTAGAAGAAATCTAAAGTGTAACTCAGCCTATTCAGGCAAGCTCAACGACTACTGATGCAGATTCAAAGATCTAAATCCATGCCAGGTATAACTTTTATGTTTATACAATTATCTCATCAACTGTAAACTTCCCATAGCTTTTGCAGGAAGCCTGCAGGTTTTGTGCAAAGCTATGCAAAACAAAAGTGAAAAGATTAAGAACTAACCCACACAGCTCCTACCTGCATATATTCTGCAAGTTCGAAGTAAGCTCTCCCAATTTGGCACAGCACCCAGCCAGTGTTGTAGTGGTGGGATGGTAAATGGCTTAAAATATTTATCGCTTCTTTGCAGTTGTATGAACACAAGGCTAAATAACCTTTCCCCATGTCACGAAGAAGGCTCATCAAACCTTCTAGGAGAAAAATACAATAAATAAAAGTGGAAAAAAAAGACAGCTGAGACTTATTTACTTGAAACTGCTAATCCCATAAGCTCTTCATTGTGGCAGGCACTGCTCCTGAATTCGCCTATGAATCTTTCAGGAGTTCCCAAACACAGGCTTATACACTCTTAACTTAAGCATAATATTCTAAACATCAACCTTTGTAACGGAAGTCAGATAGTAATGACTTCTTAAGCCAGCAACAGAATACTCGGGAACAGAGAAACTCTGAAGTTCAGGGCAACTGGCATTTTGCATTTACAGCAGCTATTCAAACATTTTGTTAGGTCTGAACACAGTTTCCACATGTCTGGTATCCATGGATACATCATCTTGCTGCCTGGAAACATTGAGCCAAAAAGAGAGGAATTCAGCAGTTTGTCTAGGATTTTCTGACAATCCGTATAAAGACTTGTTTTTAAACAAATGGGAAATATGAAGGGAGAACAGACTACATAAACCCAATTTTGAGGGAAGATGACTGCGTTATTCATAGCTCCTTTGAATCAGTTTCCGAGTTGCCTGAAAATATTTTAATAAGGATCAGAGCTTGCAAGATATATCTGCTTACAACTAGCCACTTTTAATACTTCTTCACATGTTCTTTCTAAGTTAACTAGAAGATAGTGAATTCCATTAGTTTGTATAATTATACAAAGGTGATAGCTGCAGGCTAGCTGAAACAAGAAAGAAGCAAACACTGGAGCAACATTTTTTTTCATTCAACCTTAAAACATAGGTATACAAAAGTTTTACTCTACTGCAGTCCAATAGCGTTCAAACAGACCTGCTGCTGCCTTCTGTAGCGTAAAAGCCTGGATCTGTGGCGCAACAGTGGAAATTTTCCCTTCTGAAATGATGGAAGAGTCCAGTTTGGTAATTTCCAAACTGTCATTTAAGTTTGGTTGAGTTATTCCTCCCTTATTTGTTTTACTTTTTGTTTTTCTGTTTGGAATCTTGGGTGGAAACTTCATTTTTAATTTTTTGCTATTTTCCTGCAAGTAAGAAGAGTAAGAGTTACATATGTGTCTTTTAAATTCAGATAACTAAACTTGAAAGTGAATTGTGTAAAGTTACGTTTATGCCTCTTTGCAGCCTTAACAATGAGGCACTTTAGATGAGGCACTTAGGGACATGGTTTAGTGGGTGGTGGATGGTGGTGTTGGGTCGATGGTTGGACTCGATCTTAAGAGGTCTTTTTCAACCTCAATGATTCTATGATTCTATGCTCAGCCATTTGACTTTTAAACTTAAGTATACAGACACTTAGTAACTTCACTGAATGTTTAGTAGTTCATTTTTAAACAAACATTCACATCGCCTAACTACAGTGCACTTCGGTGTTCTGCTCCGTTGTTTGAAGAACAGAAAACCAGTATGAAAATAACTTTGTTTTGGCCAAAAAAAAAAGTATTTGTTCAAGATGAATTCTTCAATAAATACATCTGAACAACCCAACCTCTTTATCAAATGGGTTGACAGCTAGCAGCACCACTGCGTTTGTCAACCCAGCGTGTATCTTTGCTTTTGTTCATGATACTCTTCCTCCTACTATTTTAGTTGAGCACTCAAGAGTTTAAAAAAAGGACACATTACGGCATCATGACATGTTTTGTACAGCCAGATATTTTGTAAATTCTGCTCATTATAGAACCTGTTCTTAAGCTGCTAGAATTGCTATGCACACGAGGAAATTATTAGTCAGCGCAGTGGTATGGGTAAGAAACCTAAAAGTTTGCAAAGCGCATGAAGTTTGTTACCTTTGTCGTAGAGCTATCACTAGTAAACAGGCGAGAGCTTCTTCGAGGCAGTGCGTTTGGTGGAGCAGCAATTGTTGGGCTCAATACCTGAGGTGTTGTACTGAAAACAAACGACACATTAAAAACTAAAGTTCTTCACTCCATTTTTAATAAAAATGGCTTTTATCTTTGTTTTAAACAAAAATACTCAAGTACTATAGCACAGATATTCCCATTTCAAGGGATGAAAAAACATAAATCTACCTGTTGCATGTTAAGAACACGAGCAGAATTTCCTTCCAGCTACTTTTTCATTTATTGATGAAGTGATCTAACTGCAAAGGAGACCAACCACCATGCACGAGCTTCCTACTTATCCACTGAAGTTGTTTTACCTCACAAAAATTACACTTCTTCCTCATCCAGAGAGGAATTCTGCAGGAACACCCATACAGGTTGGGCAAATAAAGCGCCAAATTCCCCTCAAGAAAGGAGATGCAAAAGGTAATACCAAGATGATTTCCCCTCCCCCCTACCTTGTCTGTGGGCCAGAGCTCTGTGTTTGTGCAACAAGAATTGGAGTGACTTCCCGGCTATTTCCACTCTGTGAGAAGACAGATTTTGTTCCAGCTTGGCTTATCCTGCTGACAGTCTGCATAACACAAAGTTTCTACAGGTTTGTTATTATGTCACTAAGAAGTCCCAATCTCTGCTATATCAAACCAAATTCCATTCTGCCTATCAAACACTGCACAAAGGAGGATAAATATAGATTCTTTCAATAAAGGGCGAGGGTCCCCCTCCAAGGAGGGCCCATCAAAAGCATTTCTCTTTCTACCTGTTAAAATGCCAATAACACCGAGTTTACCACATTATTTGAAAGATATAAAATCTCCATCTAGCGGCAAGAAACTATGTTGTTTGTGCAAGAATAAAAGGGAATGAAAAGATGTCATATTTAAAGTTCCCTCTCCACAGAAAGTTGTACAAAAAAAAAAATCAACCACAGAAAGAGAAAGATTTTTGAATTATATTACAATCACATCCAGAAGCCATTCACCATTAACACCTCACTGAGGTGCTCACTGTACAACATCTGAGCCTGCTGCTCCCCTGTTTAGCGTACCTGTTCATAGCATAAATCAGCATTTCACAAATTAAATCATTACTGCATGAGCCTTTGGAGCAGATAGAGAAATAAACTGCTCATCAAAAAGGGACCTGCATTATGCAGCATAGAAAGTTAATAGACAGATACCTATGGTCAAGTTAACGGGGAGCAGCAAGTTACTGCATGTCAGTTGAGCAACGCTTTGTGTGCACATGCACATTTTTTGTACCTTTTATGTGCTCGTAACCTGTGGCAAATAATATGACCTAGCACCAAAACATTGTCTTATACTTTCACACATCTTCAGAGAGCGAAGATGTGCACTTTGATGCCTACCCTGGAACAGCTGAGGTGTGGGAACTTAGAGCTGCGGTAACTTGACTGTGAATCTGAGACCTAAGGAACAAGTTCAGATAGAAATTCATTGTCTGACGCGTAGACTTTCTATAAAGGATTCAAAACAGGTCCTCCCCTCCCTGCCTTTTAAAGAAAGCTTAAACCCTACCTTTCCGCCCACTCCAGGGACACTAACGTTCAACTCTGTGGTGGCTGTTTGGAAGAGGTGCTCTTTAAGACACCAGAAATCGGCAAGCAGGATCAATGACAGCACAAGCAACACCAGTTTATGCATTATCTGACTTCTAATGTTTTGTCCTTCCCTTCATCAGTTTCTTTGTTATCAGAGGACAGTTTAGGTGGCCAGCAAGCATGCTTGCCCACTGGATCCATCCTAATGTTTCATTCATTTACGTAAGTGTTTCCTAGGAAACTGCCTCCGTTAAGTCATGCACATTCTAGCCACAGCTACACTAAACCTTTTCTAAGTTGGTAATTTGAAGAGCAGAAGTGAAACTGGCCAAGTAATTATTTGCATTGGACAAAGCATGCATCAGAATTCTAAGCTGTTTATTAAATGTATTAAATACTTGTGTTTAGGTAGTAGCACAGAATGCATCTGGGCAGAAAGCATATGCACGGATTAGCAAAATTTACACCTGGTGCTGTTGTGCCATACCTAGCAAAGCAACAAAGAAGCAGCAACTATGACTTGATTCCCCAAAGGTTTTAAGCTCTCATGTAGTACACACGTGAGATTAAATGCAGATGAGTGCTTCACTGAAGAGCTGCACTTTGCTAACTATTTCAGTTTCAGACTCACAACAATTTACCTTCCTACATACGTACAATCCACCACAAGCCAGTGTTTTCAACCGTACTGTGGAAAACTGGTTGGTCCTGAGCAGCTACAGGATGGGAATTGGATCAGCCATATGAAGCATACTTCTAGCAGACTGTTTTAGCACAGTCCAGCCCCAACAGAACAAAGGCCAAGAAAAAAAGGCAGGACTAAAAGAACCGATAGAAAGTGTTGCAGTAGTAAGATATGTAGAGACAGGATACCATAATGGCTTGTGCAGTGAGATTCCAGAGTTCCCAGTGACAGGCTTCGGAAGACCATCCAAAGGGCGGGGGGGGAAGTTATCTGCTTACTGGCTTTTATTCTTTTAAGTATTGGGCCAATGACAGAAGACAAATGCAGTTTTTAACAGCTCCCAAATGTCACTTGCAGAATGGCACAGCAAGCTGAGCGCCTCCTGATTTGTCCAGAGCATCAAATGGGGAAATTCAAGTTCTACTTTTTGAGGAATTCAATGCTATTACTTGCACTGAGCTTTTACTTTAAAGAGTTGGCCACCTATAAAATACTATACCACCCCTCATGCAACTTCTAGATTTACTAAAAATACAGGGCAAAGTCCTCAGGTTTTTTTGTTTTCAGAGCGGAACAAATGGTTTTTCAACTATCACCAACATTCCACCTCTCATTTATCACTATGGCAACTATGGCAGTTTCTTACAGAGTAAAAAAAGACAATTTTTAGTTTCCTGTACACGTGACTTAGCCGAGTGAAACAGCACCCTTCTATCAGTCAGCCCTCCACAGACCACCAGCAGTATTTTGATTACTCTGGTCTCTAAACTAGAATTCAAGAACTGCTTGCAAGAAAGCTTGAGCTCACTTGAGGCTTCCAGGATTATTTGAAGTCATCCCTGAAAATACATTAATTTAAAAAAAAACTTAAAGTGAAAACTCCAAGTTTGGACTGCCTTCAGACTCCACCTTGCACACTGAAAAGTTATGAATCCTTCGTCGTTTAGAATCAGTGTTTGTACGTTCCTCTCTGATGGCAGGTGGATAGAAGATACAGCACCTTCCTCAGGCTGCCTCTAGCAACACCAGCTAGGCAGTCTGCACACGCCTGTGCGTTCCAGGTGGGGAAAAAAGGGCTTGTTTGAATTAGAAATAAAAGGCTATTGCTCATCATTATAGAAGTTGAAAAAACAAAAATCTGTTTTGCTAGCCGAAGGAAGTGACACAATAAGCTGAAAATATTTACAACACAGACGTCTTTACTTGAGATATGGTGCATTTTTTTTTCTTGCTGTCCCATTTGCGTAGCTGAAAATAAGATTTTCAAAATAAAAAAAAAAATATTGAGGCTTTAGAAACAGTTGTTTCAATGTAACAGTTAAAATCGAATTCATTGTAGCATAGTCTAACACTTCAGAAGAGTCTAAAAGGTTGTCAGGGAAATACCTGACCAGTTGTAGTCAAATTAAAAATAAACTGCTCCCTGCACCCCCAACCTCACTAGCCTATAAGTATACATAAGGTAGTGAACAACATTTTATCTTGCTGCATTAAAGAATTGTTAGTAAGAGTGTGTGTGGGGGGGTTGTTTGGGGTTTTTGTTTTTACACACACTTTGTAGACAAATTTTACATAAATTTAATTCTCACTTAATTAACCCAAAGCATTTCCACAACTAGAGGAGGCTGCAATCAGTTCCACGCTCAAACTGTTTTTCAAAAGAAATTTTGTAAACAGTGGATAAGTTGGGTTCCCCTCACTGTCAGCACAATTCAGCTCACATGCAATGTTTTTTTATCTGCATTATGGATTCTTCTTTAAAGTACACTGCAATGTCAAATTCATAGAACAGCAATCACATTCTAGAATGCAAGATACCTTCTTTGAAGGTGCTCCTGTGGATGGCACATCAATTACAGAAGAAGAGTTTGTGTAGTTTTGTAAATATGACCCATCTCCAGGGCTTGGGGTTTCTAGTGGCAAAATTCCAAAGCTGAGAACAAAATGAAGAGGAAGGGTCAATGTCAATATTAGATCATGAGAGCTGGCCTGATTGCGTGGTTAAAACAGGGACCCAGACGATCAGCTTTATTTCAGAACTACTTCATTGATTTATGTTAACCCTCTAATATCTCACTATCCTCAACTATAAAAAAAAAACCACGTTAGAGAATATTCTTGTTCCTGAAATTGAAAAATACAGACCTTTCTTTGCCTGCCTGCATAAACTAATAGACACAGACCATCCAAGTATTAATGGCTTGTAACATAACACTGTTTAAATAAGATGGCATATAGGACAGATCATGTATTTACGTGCTTTTTAGAAGAGAGCTATTCTTCAAGGAACGCTCTTAAGAGCTTATTTCAGAGCAGAAACATATTCCTTTAGAGATTTTTCCAGTGTGAACATTGCAATAAGCAATATACTGAATCAAGAGTTCCTCTCTTTAATAAAAACCACCAACTGCTTGTTTAAAAAAAAAACAGAAGAGCTGAACACTAGGATCAAGAGCAGTTACTGAAGTTGTTTAGCTTTTGCAACATTATTTATAATACACTATCAACATGCCTGTTCCAGTTTGCTGTTTCAAATCACAAACATTATCAACAGCACAGCTGTAGACATAAATTGTCTCTCTCAAGGACTTACCTTGGAGTTAGCGGGCTCAAAGCTGCAGGTCCCCCCAGTAAACTTCGCCCAGTTTTTGGTTTATTTTGAGCCTGTTTAGACAATATGGCAGTTCCTGACCCAAGGGGGACAGCATCTGGTGAAATCCCAGCCGAGTCAATGTAAGACATTGAAGAATCAGTGTTCAAGGAGGAGTATTTTGAATTGGAGGATTCTAGGTTGATTCTGTTCAACTCCTGAAAAATGGAAGGCAGCTGTTAGATAGCTGTTAGTTTCTAATTAGCATTTTTCAGTTAAGCGGGAAAGACTGCTTTAAATACAATGATTTTAGCAAAACTCACAATTGTGTCTTGCGGTGTTTCCATAAGGACAGTCTCGGGCTGTCTATGGGATATGTTGTGATTAGATACCAATGTTGTGCAAGTGTTAGGCAGACAGCTGCTGAAGTTCTGTAAAGATGTTAATTTAAATGTTTGGTCAGGGTCTGGTTTTTCACCTGTAAGATTGGAAGGAGATTTAAGTACAGTTATTCCTGCGTCTATATGCTGAATATTCAGTCTGAAACAAGGAGGACAGGGGACAAAGTGTTGTAGAAGGGGTGCGTTCTTATTTCATTGTTTTAAAACCCCTTACGCCAAATCAGAAGCATTCTTCCACTACAAAACCCTGGACAATCAGTTTTATTAAAAAATAGACTTGCTTTTTTTAAGTTATTCTCAGAAGCATGGTTTGTAAGGGTCTACCAACTGCCGGTTGGAAAACATATGGTATTGTTAAATCCAAAAATGTGTAAATAGTGAAAATAGAAGAAAACAAGACAAAAGCTCTAAACACTGGCAAAGTATTTTAAACGCATTATTGCTCACAAAACCACTCCCAAAGAATTCTGCTGGCATTTTCCTTACTAGTTCTGGACAAGGAGTAAAATAAACCTTGCCACATGACAATGGCAAATCAGAAAGCTTGACATAACCAGAAACGTAGAAAACATCTTCACTAGTAAAACAGTTCTGCAGACTTACCTATTTCACATAGCGATTCAAAAGGGGACCAGAGGAAAGGATTTAAACTAAGGCTCTTTTGGTAACATTCTGATCCTTTGGCAAGCCGGTCTGTCTTGCTGCAAAAAGAATGTAACAGTTTATAGGGAAACTTAAAAACAGCACTTTTGTTCAAGATAGCTTTCCAGAAGAGGAGTTGAAAAACAAAACCACGTCGAATGTCACAGCAACATTCCTCATTTTTCAAGCCACACAGTAATATTAAGTTCTTTTGAAGCTATTTGACATATTTAGACACAGATGAAAGTCACTTAGACACAGCCCTCAAAAAAAGTTACATAAGCACTAGTATAGCTTGAGAATTTTTTGTTTTAGAAAGATGCTGTTCTTTGCAACAGCTTTTTTCTTTTTTGCAAACAGCAGTCTGATAGCTAGCCTTCCAGCCATTTTAAATATCTATGGATAATATTTTTGCATATAAATTAGGGGCTAAACTGAACACCTAAGTATCTAGCTACAAAGATAGCTTCTGCTGAAATAAGTTTGTTTGAGAACAGGTATACTAGGAAAGAATCCAAGAACGCCACTATTCCTATTCAATCTGTTCACATTTACTGAAACCTTTCTTGTATCTAGGCAAAAGCAAAACACTTAATTTGTAAAGTTATTCTGACTGGCAGTCCTCAAAACTTTCATTTGAAGGTTACAGCTATACATCTGCAAAATAGATACAGAAAAATCAAAATAGCAACACTGAGAAACAGGCCTTGAGAGTTTCTCTTCAGGAAGAATACAGAACAAACCCAAAACGCATCAAGAAAAACCCCAAAATACTCTTGGATTGCATGCTTAACCTGGAAAAGAAGATTTTGTGGTTTCAGTCAGTCAGAAGCTCTGGGTGAAAGAAGCCATTCGTGCATTCCCAAGTTAGATGGCTTCCACAACTATCTACCTGCACCTATCATACTCCAAAATTGTGCAGGCCATATAACCCAGAGACAGGTGTACCCTGCGGTGACTAAAAATATATTTGACTAAAATTGGGCTTGGTCAAATAAAAACCCCCAAGCTTTATTAGACAAAATAAAAAAGTAACATTACCAGTAGACATGTCCCAGTAAGGAGAGCGTAAAGCATGCAGAGTCACCAAACTCCATAACAATGTCATCATGGCTTTTCTGTTTATTCAACACTCCACCAGATAAGATCTGCTCTCCTTCTGCAAGCCTTTTTAAAAAACAAGAGGTTTAAAGGGGTTACAAGGCTCACAGTATTGGTAGTCCAGTGTTTTCACCCTGCTGCAAACAAAAACAGAAATCCACTGTCAGCGTTCACAAGTTTCAAACCACATACAAACTAGTTCCTGCAAATGAATTTTGAATAATTGATGGATTCCTCTAGCAACATGGAGGTATGCAGTATTCTGAAGCCAAACATCTCTACTGGGAGGGAGGAAAAACAAAACAAACCCAAAAACCCACGCCACTCCAAAACCAGAGACACATAATACAACATGACTTTTCCAGAAGTGACTAATCTTAGGTAGAATACTAAATGGAGGACGAGAAAGTCTTCTAGACACTTCATTTTTGAAGGTACTTTACCTAGTAACAAGCTAAGACAACGCTTAGTTTGGCTTTGTTTCCCAACTAAGAAATACAAACTGTGAGGCTCCACGCACTCAGTTAAGATCCAGTATTGAGATATGGCACAGACTTTGGATTTTAATGCCTTGCTTTCTTGCAAGAGGGGCTCAAAAGGAGAGCAAAGGCTCAGTTTGCATCTACTACACCTGCAGCGAGCAGTACCGCTCACAAGGCATGGGCCACTCACTATTAGGCTTGAACATGACTTTATACAACTTCTGGGGATGGGAGGCATTCTTCTGGCATTTGAGACCAAACCATCTCTTCTTGCCTCAACTTGAAGCTGTATTTGTAGGTAGATGCTTCTATCAGTATAGACCATTGCCACAAGACAATAAGGTACATCTGTATAAATGAGCTCATATAACTAACAGCAGTGACAGTTAAATTTAACAAATTCTAAAGAATACGTTTAAAGAAATCCCATCTAGCTAACCGAAATCAGTACTATATGCACACACCAGACTTTGTAAAAGCAAGGGAGGTCAGCTTCAAGTGTATTCCACTGGGACCTTTCCAGGTAGAGCATTAACATGATTTCCCTTTCAACAGAAGAGGCAAAGAAACCTGTATCCTAATAGCTCCAAGTGCCAGAAGAAACAAGAAGTCAAGACATCCTCGCTACTCTAAGATGTCAAAGGACTCGCCTACTAAAGAGAGTATCAAAGGCTAAGGAGCTTCCCCTGCTGCCTCTAGAGATGCCTGCATTTTGGTTACACGTTGTGAGCAGGATCACAAATCCTGCAAAACAATCGCATCATACTGCATGAAACTCCAAACATCACATTACCTAGTCTGAAGAAATTAAACTTTTTTTTGGTCATTGGAAGAGGGTCACTCAAAAAAAAAAAAAATCAAACCAAAAAAAGCTACAACACATAACCACAAGCTGTTTTGTAGAGAGACTTTTAAGCTTCTATAAAGAACCCCCACAGTATTTAAAGTTTTTTGAACGAAAATTTTTGCCTTTCTTGGTGCCTCATCCTCTCCATTCTGCACCTCAGCCAGACACTGTTTCCTACATTTGAGCTGAAAGGTCTACAGAGAAGTGAAATACCCTCAATTAACAAACTCTCAGGGCATTAGGGCCTGTAGCTTGAGCAATTTCATTATATGCTCTTGCCATTAGACTCCAGAAAACCAGCAAGATAACCTTGACAGGGACATAGTAGTGTCAAGGTTAATTGCGATGTTGAATGCAGCATTCTTGGATGTGGATTCAAGGTGGGTTTGTTGTGGGTTTTTAAAAACAGATTTCTGTCTGCCATCTTTTTCCTCACCCACCCATTAGCAGTAACTGCGTAAGTAGAGCAAGCTTACTGTTTGAGGGAAGCGGCCTATCCACTAAATTCATACTGGAAACACTTAATGAAATAAGCAAAGTATCAGAGAAACACAAAACCAAAACAAACACTTCCCAGAGTGGTCTCCTTGAGTCATCTCAGCAATCAATGTTTTCTCCCCCTACACAGCTTGACAACTCCTTTGTAAGTTATTCAATACCTTTTAGAGGTTTCTGCAACATGGGCTAATGTTTGCTAGGTCCATATCTGAAAGCAAAATGGATTGAACTTATAATAATCTTTAGAGCTGAAGGACCAATGAATTACTAGTTTATGCAATATGACAGCTTTCAAAGAGGAAAAAAAAAATGCATTTGTAACCCTGGACAGAACATAAGGGATTTACTTACTTGCTGAGGTCAACACAACATTTTGCAAGCAGGTATTTACATTGTGGGGTAGTACAGCTGTGTCCCTTTAGAAGCCTGTATGCTTTATAGGCCTTTCCTGAGCGGTAGTAACACGTTGCCAGTAAAAACAGTGCTTCTTCTGAATGTACTAAAAAATATAAAAAAAATAAAAAAGCCATCAGGTGCTTGTTTACCATTTTGATACAAAGAATTTGGGGGCAGGGAGTAAAAGCCAGCTAGGAACAAGACACAAGAAAACAAGTATTGATATTAGAGAAATTAATTACTGAATGAAGTGCATTTCTTTATTCGTCAGCATATAACAAACTTCCATATGCCATTTTCTTGTATAGTCAGACCAACTCTTAACATCTACTGTTGTAAGAGAACTTTGATCCTTCTGGCTACCCAATCTAAATAAGTGATTAGCCAGCTTGTTGTTAAAATAACAGCAAGTCAAGCAAAGCAGTCATTCCTAGCAGAACAGAGCTACTTTAACAACTCGTTGGCCACACCAAGACTTGGCTCAGTGTATCACACCCGCTAGTAACACTTTGCACTAGCTTAAGCAGTGCATAAACACTGGCACAACAATGGCTGTTGGGAAATACAAGAACTTTATGAAGGAAGATCTATTTTAGCCTAAGTAGCCTAATTAACAGTTTCAATCCTAATTTCAACTGGTCTTTTCCTGTTTGCAATTTTACTTCTGTTATTTTTCTAAAGCATTTGATGCTATATCATCACATGACTTAGCAGAGCAGGTTTTCCAATTTTAATGACTATTAAAGTCAGTCAATTACCAGTCACTTCTACCCCAACATTAAGTCTTGTCCTTTTTGCTGCCTACACTCATTATTTCATTGGGAACATGGCTTAACATTACCATTCAGATGCTTTATTTATTTTATGTTAGGAGGCAGCGATAGGGACAAGCTCTCCTACAAATCCTCTTCTCAAGCTGAGTCCTCACAAGTTTCTTAATTCTGAATGAAGTAGTCAAACTTCAGGAAAAATCATCTCTATCTAAACAGAGAACAAGAGTAATCAAGACAGAAACATTTCTCTATGGCAGAAACAGGAAGTATTTAGATTTGGTGTCTGCTTCAACACTTCAACTGCAGAGATGAATTATGTACTGCACCGAGAATGTTCTATTCAAAGAGCTTGACTTGGCATCCAGATTTAAGACTGAGGTCAGACTTGCTGATTTTACTTGTGATTACAGCATAAAGGACAGAGAGCTAACCCCTGAAGTAACTTTAAAACCTTACGGTAAAGTTATCAGCTGAAACTTTACACGCCAGAGAATGTACTTCTGTGAGGTAACGGTGAGCATTACCATGCTGTGCTGTTAATTTGAGCGTTAAGCTATGATTGTGTGACATATGTGTATGACTTCATTTTAACTGTTTTCTGGGTTTTAAGCAAAAAGAGCAAGATATCCAGATACGCTCACAGATTACGTACAGCCATGGTGTCTTACCCTATTCTTTGTACTTCCCCAAATGTTACGCTCAAATCACCCTTATGCAATGATGTATTTTAAATCGAAGAAAGGCTGTCTATAAAGGCAAGCAACTTAAATCTCTAAACAATCAAGAAACCCACATTACTTTATACTTTTCAGAACACACTACCATGCAAATGGAATTCAGCATTAAAAGAAACAATTCTGGTGTTTGTTCCTCTACCTACATGGAACTCTTCAGAAAAATCAATATGAGCATTGTACAAAAACCTCTTTGGGCAACCTGCTCAAATCCTTCGCTACACTGAAAACTGACTATTTTAAGTTTGTGTCATCACCCAGACAGTGACAGTGGAAACTGAAGACCCAAAGGGAGGACATTTTATTAGCTTTATCCAAAAACCACCAGATCTTTTTGAAAATTAAAGTTAAATCAATTCTTTTATCCACTAATTTAACACACTTGAGTTCTGGGAAACTACCAAGCCACAGACGTCCCCCACAAGGACAGTAATTGCAGGTGGACTTAAAAGAAGTTCTTCTCAGGGTAAAACCCCTACTGCCAATATGGAGTCACTGTATTCAAGTTCAGCAGCTTCTACTCTGCAGTATAACTACTTATTTTAACCAGAAGCCAGATGTTTTGTTAGCAGTTAATTGCTTGAACCAAGTGACAGCATGCATGCTGTTCTCTCTCAGCACTGCTGGTCACTGAAAAAAGCTGTTTGAAGTACTCTTGCAGAGGATTATTCTGCAAAGATAGCGTCAGTATCAAGTCATATATTTTTCTCTTGGCTGCTGCAAGAAGTGGATTCCCTTTGTTTCTACATCCTTGCCAATTACCTTCAATCTAGCATCTCCCTGCATCTCACAATGTGCTGTGTTGATGAGAGATATGTCATCCCTAAAACACTATTTCCTTTATGCACACCTAGATTATAAGGTTCCATAATATTCTACACAACACTTTTCATTTAAGCACCAGATGGAAGACCCCAGATGTCATGGGTAACCTTGGCATGAGGAAGAAAAAGTCTTTATTTCTCAAAAATTAGGTTTGTGCTTCCATTGTTAAGAAGTGCATTGTGGGCATGTCAGGCAAAACATCTAAAGCAAAACATTTCATTACAAAACACGGAGCATGAAACAGGTTATACAGTTTAATTCACATGATAAGCTCAAGCTGTTTAGCATGAGAAATTACATTATGCTTATATTTTAGCTTAAGGGTTGGGTTGGTTTTTTTCATGTTAGTGATTAGGGGACAATACCTTTCAAAATAGAGAAGAACAGCTCAACACCAGTATCGAGGAGAAAGAAGTAGAACAAAAAGCTTATCTGAGGTCATGGAGGAAAGGTTAAGAAAAAAGAGGGACTAGAACACAAGAAGGTGGTCTTTGAAGGACCCAGGAAAAGTACAGATTTCTGTTACTGCTGCCTGCTCAGTATCCAAGACACCCTAGATCTGACAGCATTACAATGAAGTCACAATTAACAAGCATTCAACAGGAGGTACCTATTCCATATGTTCTGATTCTCATTGTCTCAATTTCACTACGCTTTTCTCTCATCATCACAAGATCATCTCTTTCAGCTAACACACCAAATATCTGAACAGCATTATTAGCAAAGACAGCTTTCAATATCGAGACAATTTGTAGCATTTGTGTACTGCATCTATCCTCAAGTGCCCTTGGAAGACATGCAATGCCTAAGGTTATTAAAAAAACTCTCTCCCATCTGACACGATAAAACAGATCACTGTAAACGTTGTACTTAAACACACAACTCTGAGTTTAATTGTTTTAAGGAGGTTTTACTGTAAAACATTGCTGCTGTTACATTATTTGATTTTCCAACCTAATCATGAGGCATTCTTCCACTTTCCCCAAGCAGAAAGTTAAACTTCATTATCACAACAACAGGGGTAAAACAAAGCTGGACCAGAGGCTCAAAAATCCTAAATCAAAATTGAAAAAGAGCATCAACTTTATACTTGCAAAGTACATACCTTCTGCATATAATCTTTCTGCAAGGAACACTGCATCGCGGTAAGCATAGTGGTTAAGTGCTTGCCATATAGCAGCCTGCAAGACAAGAAAATAATCTAGATTTAGAGACAAGCTTTAAAAATGCAAAACTCATTAGCTCTTACTGTCAAAAGGCAAAGTTCAATTTTGTTTTATTGGAGTCATAAGAAGAATGGAGGAGGACAAACATGCAGGCCAAGTTTTAGTTGTTTCAACTATTAGTAAGGAGACTTAAAAAAACCTGACAACTTAGCACTGAAGTCATGAACCAGTCTAACAATGTTGCTCACTAGTTACCATACACAACCATCTATAAGTCTCAGCCAACACGCACTGAAATAACAGAGTACTTCCACTCGTTACTGAGTTTTAGCCTGGTGCATAACTGAGCATGAATTGTTGCAAACTACCACCAAACAATAACATGTTAAGTAAAGGTAAGAAACAAAAACCGCCCCGCAACTGGTTACTAGAATATTCCATTTTGCTCTTAGCTGTGCCCAAGGAGGGGCAGGGGAGGTGGGGAAAAGCTAGGGTGCCCAACTCAATTTAACGGCGTTACGCATAAACCCATTTAAACTATTTCCTCGTGAGACGTGCCAAACCAAAACCCAACAGGACTAGAAATCACATCAGTGTCCAAGGTTGCCAATACAAGACTGCCGTTGATTAAGTATGTTAGGTATACAGCATTTTCCTTGAAGAGTTATCAGTGTTCCCTTAAGAACCAAGATAAACACAATCCACTGCTTTTTGTTGTGGTGTTTTGTTTGGGTCTTTGCTCATCAGCCACCTTTTTACTGCCACTAATTATGATTGTGAGGTATCACACAAAAATGAATGCAATGCAAATGAGATGGACAAATTGATATATATACAGATATATATAAAGGCAAACTACTACTGCATTTTGCTTATATACCCATACTTGGTCAAAACCAGCTACCTACTTAATCTTACTATTGGTCAAAACCAGCTACCTACTTAATCTTACTATCATTTTTTTTTTCCATGAACACCAAGCTCAAGAGTTTGAGACTGTCAATATTTGTGCAGACTCGAAAGATGGCAAAACTCCAGTGAAATGCAAATCAAACGTACATACAGGTGTACAAACTGTGTACACCATTAAAGTAGCTGTCATAATTACTTGCACTGCTGTAGCTGAACTACAAGCAAGAGCTGTCCAGCAAAAGAATAGGGCTGGGGTACGCAGGTTTCACAACAAACACTACTCAGCCAATTTTCTTCAGATCACATTAAAAGCCTTCCGTTATCTGTAAAAGAGGGGTGGGATGGGAAAAATAATTCTTTAAGATCTATTCAGCCTTTCCTCCCCACCTATTACAAGTGGTGGTGTGCACACTCATCAGGGTTTGCGTTCTGAGGTTAGCATCAGGACTGCAGTTCCTTCCCATCTGGCAGTCTTGCTCAAGTTCCAAAGCAGTTTCCCATAAGCAGCATACAGCCATTTTGCAGTACTTTTGTTATTGCCGATCCAAACAAGATCTGAACTTATGAACTCAAGGCGCTGTGGTCTAGTATTTCTCCAATATTCATCAGCAACTGAAGACAAACAGAATTAGCTTCTGATACTTATCAGACACTCCAAAAGAAAAAGAAATCTTCCAGAGCTAAAGAAATGGTGCCCTGTAATGCTATTCCCAGTAGGAAAGGCAAGCGCCAATTTAATCTAAAAAAAAATTCAAACATCACATAGAATTACATGTACCATATGCTACTTCTTCCAACACAAACTTGACAAACTCAGGGTGTGAAAAATGCTCAAGTTCCCTTCACAGGAAGCCTACACAGTCTTCATGAACAGTACACACCAGAGTTTCCAATTACTATATAGAATATTATACACAAAATCTCTACAGAGATACTGTTTTCTTCAAGCAGCAGGTCTCAACAATATACTTAAAAAGTCAACAGGTACTTTTAAGCTCATGTGAAAGTATTTAAAAATGAATTCTCTTAGTTTGATTATTATAATACAAACATCTTATTATTTCTCCCTGGCTGTGTTCCACACTTCAGATAACTTCAGCCACAGAGTCTGCCTGAAGAGATTACTCCCTTTTACCTTGAAAAGCTCCAAGGCTGTACATTGTTCTGTGCACCGCAGGCAGCATGGTACAAAAAGTACGAGACAGAAGGAGGGCGTTAAAATCTTTCAGACTATAGCGAAGTTAGAGCAGCCTAAGGTCTCCTTTTTCTCTTGCTCTCAGAAGCAGCTCTTCCTTTACCAAGTCACGAGTGACATTTAGATGAATCTACCCAAGTTGTGTTGTCTTCGGGTTAAAAATACTGTCTTTACAGGGATGTAACTCAGCATGCTTGCAAAACAAAGGTATGGGGGGGTGGGGGTGATGAAATCAATGTCATTTGACTTCTCAAACAGGAGCAAGTTGCCAGAAACAATCTTGCCAAAGGCTAAGAGGGGACACAAGTGATTTTTGGCTATCACACAGCCACATTATAAAAGTTACGCTACATATTGGCTCAAATAACAATCGTTGCTGAGCGGAGTCCCAGTGAAAGCAAGAAGTCAGCTGGTAGTATCCCTGTTGTGTAATAATTGTCATTTTGCAACACAAAAGGTGCAAGTTGGACTCATGCCTTCAACAGACAAACTCTGAAGACTGGGTCCTTGCACACACTCTCCTAAAAGAGCAGGAAGAGGAAAGGAAGGTGGCAGGGAATCAGCTGTACTTATGCAGTAACGATTTTCCATGAGAACAGATGTCTAAACTGCAACTGTGTCTCAAACTACCAAAAAAAAGAAGATTTCTTGTGCACCTTTTAGGAAGCATCTAAATGCACCTAAGCATTTAGGACAGGAACATCAATCTCTTTATAGAGTAGTAATTTAGTTTGTTGTAGCAGAAGTTCAATGCATCTACACAGCGTTAGTGGCACACGACAATTGACAAACCACACCAGAAGAGTTGTCTGAAGCAAAAAACTTTGGGGCCATTTATCCAGTAAAAACTATTTAATCCCAAAAGACTTCAGAGCAGGACAACACAGTACAACCACAAATACAATCCAAATGCCATCTTAGTTTCCTCCCTATGGTAGTTACCAAATTTTACGTGGAACCTGTCAACAGAAAACCAAAGCAGCAGCTTCCTCAAGAATGTGCAAAGCAGTTGAGATACTTTGGTTGCAACGTCTGTTCTCAGGGCTACAAACATGGACAGGACGGAAGCTTGAAGTGTTTCAAAGTTTTATTTAAGCATGCTTGTAGACCAGATAAACCTCCAGGTCCTAGTCACTCATTTTAAGCATGCATTAATTTGCAAGTGCAAAGTGAACAGGGAATTACAAAACTACCATACCAGCCACAGCTCTGCAGCAAACCATCCTCAAGAAAGCAGAGCAAGGAAATAAAAGCAGATTCAGACAGGCCCATCTTCTACCCAGAAAATCCTGTGCATTGTCCAAGTGTCACTTCATCTCTAAGTCAGAGAGCTCTTAAAAGTTAGGTGTTATCTTCTGACAGTTATATAGCCTTGGAAATTATTTTCAAAGCTTTACAGCCTATTGACATGCTAAGCAGTTTCTATCATGATTTAAGACTTCGTCAGGGTGGGCAGAGGGGAGGAGAGTTTTCTGCAATAAGCTGCGCTGCATTTACTAGTTATGCAAACTCTGCCCATTAAATAAGCAGACACTGGAATTGCATGTTTTCAGCCATGACAGTAGCCTTGGAGTTTGAGCACCATTCCAGTGGGTCACAACAGATGATCACCTTGAACAGCTAAATTCCAAGGAAAGCGTTCATTTTGTTTCCGAGATGTTTTTCAGAAATATTTGGAAGGCATCCAGTCTGTTTCTCAGCACATGGGACACAAGGCTTTATGTTTGAGCTGAAGAGTTTTAAATTGACTACATCAGGAAGTACAGTAGAAGTCTGTTGTCTATGTAAACTCTGGCACTTTTGTTCATCTTAAGGGATTAAAAAAGTTAGTAAAAATCTAACCAGTGAACAGGGTGCCTTTTGGGACATTAACTTCATGTAATTACTTCATGCAACATAAACCTAACATTAATAAGGCAACATAAACCTAACATTAATAAGGCAACATACACACACAGATCCCGTTATTTATCTGTCATGCTTTGCATATCACAGCTGTAAAGATGACAGTTTTTTCCTGGAATGCTAAGCCCCGTAGACATCTGAAAGGCTGGGAGAGAACAGACAAATAGACAGGAAAAATCTCTGCAATGACAAAAATGAGAAGTAGTGTCAACTCTTCCAATCATATCATTAAAAAAATAATCAGAAAAACAGAGTTAAATACGCAGACTCCAGCTAGAACAGGAATTCAGAAAGGCAATCGACTTCACCCAGATGTGTACTGCAAAATGGAGACCACTCGCCGGACACGTTACACTAGTGAGAAAACAAGCATGAGCTGGTTTGGAAAGGTCCTGTAGTCCAGCAGTCCAATCTCTACGCCACTGCTCACAGCCATGGCACAAAGAGGACTACAGCTACAACAGCAGATCCAGGCAGAACTCAAACGTTGGCCTCGTTTTGGATGGTGCACCGGTGACTTCCTCGCCATCAAAAGCAACAATACGTCCAAGACCAAAACAAATAACAAATCCTAAACTTACCAGTATTGCTGTAAGTAAGGAATAACAGCAATGCGAACACCAGTAGAACCACCGATTAAGGAATTACTGGGCATTTCAAAGCAGACAGAATCTAAACAGATATATTCAGCATAGCAAAGCCCCATCAAAACATCCAAGCTGATAAGAGCTTGAGAATGGAGAATACCATTAGAGACGTCTTTACCTTTCGGAAAAATGAAAACAAGACTGTACATTTCTATCACGGAACTCTCAGAATAGCAAATATTTTCCACTTGGTTAGTCTAATTAACACAGTACCGGAAACATTAAATATTGTTTCCTGTCATTCACTCTGCAATGCATACTTGCTTCCTTTTCTGTTGTAATCCCATGTTTTCCTAGAATACCCAACTGGTGCAAAACACCAGTCCAGCTCCAAGGGTAACAGCAACG